AAAAAACACCTGAAGGACTCCAAGATGGTGAGAAATAAGATTCTCTGGTCTGATGAGACCAAGATAGAACTTTTTGGCCTTAATTCAATCAATTCATTAATGCAATCGAGGGAAGGATGAATGCGGCCAAGTACAGGGATATCCTGGACGAACACCTTCTCCAGAGTGCTCAGGACCTCAGGCTGGGCCGAAGGTTCACCTTCCAACAAGACAATGACCCTAAGCACACAGCTAAAATAACGAAGGAGCGGCTTCACAATAACTCCGTGACTGTTCTTGAATGGTCCAGCCAGAGCCCTGACTTAAACCCAATTGAGCATCTCTGGAGAGACCTGAAAATGTCAACCAATGTTTACCATCCAACCTGACAGAACTGGAGAGGATCTGCAAGGAGGAATGGCAGAGTATCCCCAAATGCAGGTGTGAAAAACTTGTTGCATCATTCCCAAAAAGACTCATGGCTGTATTAGCTCCAAAGGGTGCTTCTACTAAATACTGAGCAAAGGGTCTGAATACTTATGACCGTGTGATATTTCAGTTTTTCTTTTTTAATAAATCTGCAAAAATGTCAAACATTCTGTGTTTTTCTGTCAATATGGGGTGCTGTGTGTACATTAATGAGGAAAAAATGAACTTAAATGATTTTAGCATATGGCAGCAATATAACAAAGAGTGAAAAATTTAAGGGGGTCTGAATACTTTCTGTACCCACTGTACATCTGTACATTGTTGCACAGTGATATGTATAGCATCCTACCATACCCTTAAACATAAACTAACTGTTATAAAGTGTGATAGCCCAGGGGCAAGAAACTGTCCTTGTGTCTGATTGTTTTGGCGTACAATGACCTGTTGCACCATCAAAAGGGGAGGAGTTCAAACTGTTTGTGTCCAGGGTGTGAAGAGTCTGCAGAAATCTTCTCTGCCCTCCTCTTGACCCCTCTAGATGGTGCTACAAGTCACTGTAAGCCAAAACAACCAGATGCAAGGACAGTTTATTTTCCTGGGCCATTACTCTGAACACTTAACCCATGACCCTCAGTGCAATACCTAGAAAATATATACAGTATTGTTCAAAATAATAGCAGTACAATGTGACTAACCAGAATAATTCAGGTTTTTAGTATATTTTTTATTGCTACATGGCAAACAAGTTACCAGTAGGTGCAGTAGATTCTCAGAAAGCAAACAAGACCCAGCATTCATGATATGCACGCTCTTAAGGCTGTGCAATTGGGCAATTAGTTGAAAGGGGTGTGTTCAAAAAAATAGCAGTGTGGCATTCAATCAGTGAGGTCATCAATTTTGTGAAATAACAGGTGTGAATCAGGTGGCCCCTATTTAAGGATGAAGCCAGCACTTGTTGAACATGCATTTGAAAGCCTGAGGAAAATGCGTCGTTCAAGACATTGTTCAGAAGAACAGCGTACTTTGATTAAAAAGTTGATTGGAGAGGGGAAAACCTATAAAGAGGTGCAAAAAATTATAGGCTGTTCAGCTAAAATGATCTCCAATGCCTGAAAATGGAGAGCAAAACCAGAGAGACGTGGAAGAAAACGGAAGACAACCATCAAAATGGATCGAAGAATAACCAGAATGGCAAAGGCCCAGCCAATGATCAGCTCCAGGATGATCAAAGACAGTCTGGAGTTACCTGTAAGTACTGTGACAGTTAGAAGACGTCTGTGTGAAGCTAATCTATTTTCAAGAATCCCCCGCAAAGTCCCTCTGTTAAAAAAAAGGCACGTGCAGAAGAGGTTACAATTTGCCAAAGAACACATCAACTGGCCTAAAGAGAAATGGAGGAACATTTTGTGGACTGATGAGAGTAAAATTGTTCTTTTTGGGTCCAAGGGCCACAGACAGTTTGTGAGACGACCCCCAAACTCTGAATTCAAGCCACAGTACACAGTGAAGACAGTGAAGCATGGTGGTGCAAGCATCATGATATGGGCATGTTTCTCCTACTATGGTGTTGGGCCTATTTATCGCATACCAGGGATCATGGATCAGTTTGCATATGTCAAAATACTTGAAGAGGTCATGTTGCCTTATGCTGAAGAGGACATGCCCTTGAAATGGTTGTTTCAACAAGACAATGACCCCAAACACACTAGTAAACGAGCAAAGTCTTGGTTCCAAACCAACAAAATTAATGTTATGGAGTGGCCAGCCCAATCCCCGGACCTTAATCCAATCGAGAACTTGTGGGGTGATATCAAAAATGCTGTTTCTGAAGCAAAACCAAGAAATGTAAATGAATTGTGGAATGTTGTTAAAGAATCATGGAGTGGAATAACAGCTGAAAGGTGCCACAAGTTGGTTGACTCCATGCCACACAGATGTGAAGCAGTTATAAAAAACTGTGGTCATACAACTAAATATTAGTTTAGTGATTCACAGGATTGCTAAATCCTAGAAACAAAAACGTTTGTACAACATAGTTTTGTGTTTGTACAGTCAACGGCAGACACTGCTATTTTTTTGAACACACCCCTTTCAACTAATTGCCCAATTGCACAGCCTTAAGAGCGTGCATATCATGAATGCTGGGTCTTGTTTGCTTTCTGAGAATCTACTGCACCTACTGGTAACTTGTTTGCCATGTAGCAATAAAAAATATACTAAAAACCTGGATTATTCTGCTTAGTCACATTGTACTGCTATTATTTTAAACAATACTGTAAATAAGCACCAGTTCTAAGTGTCTTTGTGTCCTTGATTTATACAACATACTGCACTATATACAATATGTGTGTGTATGACAAGCATCTAGACAACTTCATAGGACAATTAAGACAGTAACTACATAAACATGCATAGTTTACTTCTCAGATTCTTCTAAAGACATGGGCGTGAACGAGAAACCAGAGATTGGAGTTTCGTGAGGATCCCTGATAAACCAGAGGACACAGAAAACATGGGAAGAACAAGCTCAGGAAAAACTGACGTTCTTACATCTTGTCCCCAAGTCAGGATTGTTTGACCCTGGATCTTTATACTGAATATTTATACATTAATAAAGGTCTACTTTCAAGCCTAATGATCAACAAGCAATTCTGGAATACTTGACTTCCTTTAATGGGCCCTTGTCACGTGATGTGACACAATGGCCATCATTCTTCTGATGGGTGCATCCTTACTTCCGCTGGTCAGCGTACTCACTGAGTTCATACAGTCTAAAGCAGCTGCCACAGACATTAATGGATGATGTTTAAAGTGCTCATGGCTGCTCATTTTGTTCATTTCCAGCCATTTAATGTTTAATCTTGGGTACCTCTCGATTAGTTTAGCACCCCTCATAACTCCAAATAGTCTAATTATTTCAGAATGATAAAACCCGAGAACCTCTTCCTGAAAATGAGAGGATAGTTCGTGAACGTGTACAACTCCTGCTGCCAGTATTGCGGACAGCACAACAAACCCAATGGCATTAATTAATTTGAATTTGTCCTCCATAGATAAGTAAGCAATGATATATGTACCGATGAAAAGAGATGTGTAACACTCTAAACAAAGCAGCCAATCCCAGCTGTGGGGCACACCTTGGACAGGTCACCAGTCTATTACAGGGCTGACATGTAGACAACTGCACACACTCACATTCACTCCTACGGGTACATTAGAATCCCCAATCAATCTACTCAGCGTGTCTCCGGACTGTTGGAGGAAGCCAGAGCACCCAGAAAGAACCCACACTGGGAGAACATGAAAATACTGCAGCTTTGCTCTTAAATCCATTTGCCCCAGTGCAGTGCTGAACCAGAAACAGTGATACCCGCGGAATCGCTATGTTAGCTGACGATCACTTTGAAAAGGGCCCATTGCTGCCACAGTCTCCTCTGCTGTAACTTGATTCTAAAACACTTAATTATTGCCTGCTCGGTGTGTAGGTGGATGAACTGTGGAGATAGAAGTGTTGCTACTATTAAAATATGACCCATGTCAATCTATGTAAGCTGTGGTTTTGTGGTTTCTTGGCACAGTAATGGTGCAGTCAGACATACAGTAAATAAGATAACACCTAGATAAAAACAATACTATAGAAGATTTTAGTTATAAGCTTTTTATTACTGGTCTTAAACTATGTCTTCCGTTATACGCACTTCCTTCTACACCTCTCACACATCAATACGCCACTTAAAACAAAGTAGCTCGTAAACATTTGAAAAAGCATCAAACAGAACTGGACAGAAGAACAAAGCAAAAACTGTCATTTCTTTTTAACCTTCTGATGCGCAAGATGGGTCAAAAGTTACCCATATGTATTCTTAATGGAATTTAATAGGAAATCTGAATTTGAACTATATATTTGTAATTAGGAAATGTTTTACTGCATTTCTCTGAGTCCATTTCACCTTTCTAGAAGACTGCTGCAATTCGTGTCAATTTTTATTTGTACTTTTCACTTCAAAATATCAATCATGTGCATATACATGGTTAGAAAGATGTGGTAATAGTGTCAGTGGTGGAAGAAGTACTCAGACTGTTTACCTAAGTTAGAGTAGCAATACCACAGTGTAAAAATACTCTGTTACAAGCAGGACATAAAATTCATAATTTGAAAGACAAGGCCATTTGGCCTTCAATTCCATACATTTTCAAAGGGCACACAGGCCATTTGACTGGGCACTAAGGCCGAGACAAATGGCATGATATGTATGTAGCGTATGTACACAGCCTGAGCAGTAAAGTTACAAACTAGAACTTGGTGCTCACAATATACATGTTATATTTAAATTAAAGTGCAGATGCTTATAGAATGGTTAATGGGACATATGCAGCAATAGTATAGTAACTGTGCACCTTTATTATAATTTGGATAGTAAATGGTGTTATCTGTGCACATTTAGACTCAAAGGCAAACTAAGCTCTTGTTACCTCTGCTGATGTTGCCTAAGATCACAGGTCGGAAGAATCACGGATGTATTAAGGAGAAAACAGATGAAACGTCTAATCTCTCTTAATTACTCTAACTGGTGCAATAATTATTTTTCTGGCATTATGACCAGCATCACTTCTGGCACGGTGAATACTAAAGATAAATGCATAATGGCTGCCTCTAAGATTTTCACTTGGTTGTCACTATTGACTATATTAGCGCTTCTTTAACATATGCACTACTTCAAATAGCAGAGAAAACACGGTACACTTTAACACTACATGTAAAGTTTTACAGCCTCTGAGTTTTCTTACAGCTTATAGACAGAGCCAAATATTACATCCTTCTAACTGCTTATCCAGCCAAACTAAAGGAAACCTTATTGTACCACCGCCCATTTTACAGATGCACACTCTGAGCTAAAAATAGTGCACAGATGTTGCGAAAGTAAGATAGAGAAGTTCACCAACAGTTGGTAAAAATGCTGATGCTACCAAGCAGTGTTAGAGAGCGAATAACCTTAAATTCTACAGCATATTCTGCCAACTAACATGAACCATGGGGGTTTTATGAGGAGCGCTCCTGGGCAGCTTTATTAAGCACGGTTCTCCATAACACATCCATAAACACACACCTACGTGAGTGACTGTGCATGATTTACAGAGATCACTCCACAAGTCTGGCGGATCTGATGAGGGCACATACAGTATATACAGGGCATGAAATATATAACCTGGTTACAAGTAAAAGTCCTGCATTCCAAATCTTAAGTACAAAAGTATTAGCAAATTAAACTACCAAAAGTAGTAGTTGCTCTTTATTCAGAATGGAACATTTCATTTGAATGTATATCTGATTATTGGATTATAATTATTGATGGCTTACTGCTCAGCACTTTAACACTACAGCTAGTAAAGGTGGAGCTAATGTTAACTACCTTATATACAGTACTTACTGTTTACTGTGAAGCACTTTAGATACAGCTGGCTAGGTTGTGAATTTCCCACCAGGGATCAATAATGTCTGATTATGCTGTATTTTATTCATCTGATTTTAAAAAGTGATCAAATACATGTGGTGCAGTAAAAAGTACAATATTTTCCTATGAAATGTAGTGAAGTCTAAGGATGAAGCAGCAGAAAACAGAAACACTCAAGCACAGCTCCCTCAAAGTTGTACTCAAGTACGATATGTGAGTAACTGCATTTAGTTACTTCCCACCACTGGGTAACAGAATAGTTATATACAATCACTGCTGAAAGCTGGACCTATAGTTTTATAGCTATATCCATTTTATTATCGTTAGGTAGTCGTTTATCTGCTGTGATACAGTTAGCTGGTGAGCTGCTGTGTTTTAGCTGCTGGCCTATGGGGCTTTGTCTGGTAAAGTGAGAGAGTGTCTCTAAAACACATGAAAGCAAAAAGCTGTATTCTACCAAGTATATGTTAGGTAAAAATATAGAGTACACTTGTTTGAGAATATGACTTGGTGTCCATTTGAAAACACAAGGTGTTTTGTGCCTTATTGACAGAGCTGCCACATCTGTTCAGAATCGAGCCAAAATAAAATGATATATACTTTAAAATAACACAGCAGCTGATTGTTTCAAAAGTCCTAAATAATAACATAAATTTGCTATAAAATTGTTACAATGAAACATTTAGCTATGGATAAAATACTACTGAAAATGAATGTGGGTAATTTTTGACCTGTCTTGCGCATTATAAGGTGAAGAATATGTTGCACATCGGAGGGTTAAAACAGGATTTTATCATTCCAACTAAGGAAAAAACTCATAAAAGGGCACATATGAAAAAATGTGTAAATGACGATTCCCAGAAGACTTGAGGAATAAACCTTAGGATGGGATTTGGGGTCATTTTCTAGGTATGTTCAATTTATTTATTTTTTATCAAAGTTACTTGTAAAACTGTAATATAAGCAAGCAATTCTGTTGGGTTGGACTAGAAATTCAAATGAATATTGTGTGGTAGTGCCTAATTACAAATTACTGATCATTTGAAATATATTGTTTAAGACCAGATTTAAATCTGTTTGCATATAAAATATTAAGTGCATAATTGTATCCTCCTTTTGGGAAAATATACATTTCTCAGTATGCAAACATCTACAACGTTTCCTCAAGAAGGAAATGTGGGTCCTAAAATGAGACGGAATCCAATACTACAGGAACCCTGAAATTTAAGTGCAAATGTTTCATCACAACATCTGCATTTACAATATTAACACTATATCAAAAACACTTTAAATATAAAACAGATTTTAATTTCTCCCTATAAGGCTTTGATTCTCAAAAATAGCCAACGCCACCGTGTGGCAGCCGCCTCCCGAGTCCACAAGAGGAAAACAACAGAAAGAAAACACATGCACACAGAGAACATTAATTCAGAGAACCTACCTGTTACAAAAATAGAAATTAATCTTAAAAATCCATTGGTGTTACAGGAAATAAAAGGAGATCAAAGGATATTACACAAAAAAAAGATGAACACATTTTATATATAGTTATAAACTTTGAGCAGATCTGTTATCACAAATACAAGCAGACTGGAAAGAGATATGACATCAACTCTAAACATGGCCTGATTCGATTTACAGTGGATTGAGAAAGTATTCACAGCCTCTCAGTTTTTTTACATTTTGTTATGTTTGACTCATCTTAAAATGGATTCAATCAAATCGTTTCGTCATCAACCGACACACAACAGTCCACAATACATTTTCAAAACACTCATATAAACAGGTTTTTCAAATGTTTTGAAAATGTATTAAAAATAAGAAACTGAAATATCCCATTTACACAAGTATTCTCCTTGAGAATGAAGCTGCAAGCCTAGCACCCCTTTCTTTTGAAATTTTCTTCCATTATCTTTGGCAGAATTGTTCAAAGTCAGCCGGGTTGGATTCAGTGTGACGGTGCACAGCCATTTTCAAGTCTCTCCAGAGATACTCCATTAGATTCAGGTCTGGACTCTGGCTCTATATTTTTCTGCATCCTTCCTTCCCTCTATCCTGTCTAGTCTCCCAGTCCCCCAGTCCCAATCGTAGAAACACTTCCCCTCAGCCTGATGCTGCTACCACTGTGTTTGACTTTAGGGATGGTATTAATGAGGTGATGCTCACTGCCTGGTTTCTCCACACACCCTGTTGGTAATTGTGGCCAAACAGTTTAGTCTTTGTTTCATCAGACCACTGGATTTTGCTTCTCATGGTCTGAGCCCTTCAGGTGCCCTTTGGCAAACTCCCAGCGGGCTGTCATGGGCCTTTTAGTGAGGAATGCTTCTGTCTGGCCACTCTACCATAGAGGCCTGATTGGTAGAGTGCTGCGCTGATGGTTGTCCTTCTGTATGGTTCTTCCATCTCCAGAAAGGAACTCTGGATCTCATTCATAGTGACCCTTGGGTTCTTGGTTACCAGTCAGACCAAAGCCCATAATCTTAGATTATTTCATTTGGCTGGGGGCCCAGATCTATGAAGACTGGTGGTGGTTCCAAATATCTTCCATTTGAGAATGACAGAGGCTACTGTGCTCTTGGGCACTTTCAATGCTGCAGAAATGTTCTGGTATCCTTGCTCAGATCCCCGCCTTGACACAATCCTGTCTTGCATATCTGTGGACAGTTCTCTTGACCTCATGACTTTGTTTTCACTCTGACCAACACCACCAACTGCGAGACCTTATATAGACAGGTGTGTGCTTTTACCAACTATTTCCATTGCATTAAATTAGGCACCGGTGGACTGAGATGCGTCTACAGCTTGATTAATGACAACTGATAGGAGTAGGATGCACCAGATCTCAATTGGAAGTGTCATAACAAAGGGTCTGAATACTTATGTAAATGGGATATTTCAGTCTTTTATTTGTAATAAATTTACAAAACACTCCCAAAAACCTCTTTTCACTATCACTGTGGAGTATTGTGTGTAGATTGATTAGGAAAAATTTTAAATTAATCAATTTTTTGCTGAGTCTGAAACATAAAATGTGGAAAATTTGAAAGGGTCTGAATACTTTCTGAATCCACTGGACATGCTATGCATATTAAACCATGTTGCTGTCTCTATATACAATAATGCATCCAAGCTGAACACTGCAGCACATGTACACTCCTGCAACACAAACATCATGGCAGACCAAGCTGCAATGTACGTGCACACAAAACATCCCTGTGAAGTTTTACAAACTTCTGAGGCTCTGGTTTGGTCTACGCAAAGATAGGGCATAAAAACAAAGAGGAAAGCTGTCGTATATCATTAGATCAGTGCTAACTTTTAAATGATAGCACTCCATCCACTTTGGGGAGATAAACTTGGGCTTGGCTGTGGTAAGGCACCATATATTAATGTGATGGACCGCAGGCTGAGGGGGCAAAAGTCAGTTGAGTAAAAGTAAGCACAGCCCCCCACCCCACCCCCAACCCTCCATGCCTGGGTTACAAAGTGACACTTAGGTAAACACACACACTAGCATTTTCTAGCTAAGTACTGTGTAAACAAATGGGATGCACAATATCCATGCTTAATAGCATAGAAAGGTGGGATTGACCTTTTTTTGAGTCTGTGTCTCAGACCTATGGCTTCAAAGTCATTTAGAAAACCCTTTCAGGGCTGATGATGCATACCAGGCTTTTTAGGGGAGACAAAGGTGCTTAAACACTCCAAAAGGTTTCTACAGTCCTCTTGATTAAAGGTTGATGTGTTTCACATGGCTAAGGCGAGGCAATGGTTAATGCCAGACTGTTTGAGTCTAGCAGCTAAGATTTGGAGGTTCAATTTGAGTTTAAAGAAATGCACTGACACTGCATGCAACAAGATAAAAAGTGCCTGTTCAGTAACAACAAAAAAACTGAGATGGCCTGTGAACAATCCACAAGGCTTCAATGTCCACTGCAATTTGGCTTTGTGCAGAACAATTCTGTCTGTTTTAAAGTCCAACTGGACTTTGTCAAACCATTGACAAGCTGGGAAATATACATATTCGGTTTCTTACCCAAGTTCAATTAGAAGACTGATACCAGTACAGCATAACTGGAGTCAGGAGTTGGTTAGCTTATCTTAGCATAAAGAGTGGAAACAGGAGGTACAGATATCTCTTAATGCATACTGTGTATGCAGCCAACAAATAGTGCAGCACATACCGCCCGTTAAGCAGTAAACAGATGTTTTTACAGTTTGCTTTTAAACACACCTACAGTATGGATTAAACATCTTTAAACAGTTTTACGAGGGCTGGTAGGCAGATTATGTTACCATCAGATGGAGCCAGGCAAGCTGTCGCCCTGTTTCCAAACTCTGAGCTGAGCAGAGTGACTGCCAGCTCCACCTACATATTTACCACACTGACATGAGTGGCACTGATCTTCTCAACTCACTCTCAGCAATCAGTTGAATAAGCACAATTCCTAAAATTTTTACCTATTCCTTGAAAATGTACCATTTCCCCACAACTTTTATCTTTAAAACCTTATAATAAATGTCTAATATGATGCCTGGAGTCTAGCTGCTTTCAGGGTCATTTAAAAAGGCAACAGCAGAGCAGTAACAAACACAGGGTTTATGTGTTGCTTGCAAAGTTGATGCACAGAAAGCGTTATGGCTTTCCTTTGTTTCATTCCCACCTGAAACCTTACTAGCTGGAGGCAGACCTCACTAGCTTTCAGGGATATTCGTGCACACACACACACACACGTGCGCGCACGGGCACGCATACAAACACACACACACACACACACACACACACACATATATTACAGGCATTTACGGCTCACCTCAGATTATGGCCACACACGGTAAGACAGTCAAGGTAAAAGTCCTGCTGGACATGGCTATAGTTAGCCAACATTTCAGAGCAGCTGAGGCAAGTCTTGACATTTAAGGTTAGGTTGAGAGCTGGGTAAGTGCTAAAATAAGTTGCAGGTAAACATGCAGATTATCAGGTTAAAGCACTACCCTTGAACAAGAGTAAAAGTTAAGACAGAGTGCAAAAGGAAACAGAGGAGAAATCAGGATAGAAGCTGATAACAGAAAACGTGTCTTTTTTGGCAGTGACACTGTTGCACAAGATAAAAAGAAAATTCTATAAGAGGAAAGATTCAATCCCACTGCTCTGTGTATATGAACACGATTGTGGCTGCTTTGGGTCCAGTCCGCATGCACCAACTGCTGCCATGGAAATTTCCCCTTTTTAAATGATTGTGACTGATGATCCCAAAAAGCCAGACAAAATGAATCCATAAGTGCATAGGAGAGATGGCATCAATGTATATTAGTACACAATAGCATTCTGAACGTGTAAATGCTATGAAACCAATGTGTTACTCTCCTCCATCAAACTTGGACAGTTCAGCATCCGTGGATTCTCCCTCCATGCAGCAGATTGTAGTGTGAATTCTGTGGCAGTGAACTGTAAAGCACCAGAGTGATGGGGAATGGCAATGGCTGAGCTCCCACGTGATTGTCCTATATGTGGGAGCTGAAGAGGGGAAGATGTCAAGCTGTCTGCATCCAACTATAGAGATGCTGTAGGGGAGTTAAGCCTATGTCTTCTGAGGGTCTGGTGAAATGGGGCCGGGTGTGTTGGTCCCGTCCAGACTGTGTACAGGGATCTGAAACTGGGGGGTAAGGACCGTTGGAAACTGGAACACAGTGGAATGGAAAGTGTTAGGGTGCTTTACACAAAAATAAAAAGAGATAAGAAGAAAAAGAAAGAATGTACACCGATCAGGCATAACATTATGACCACCTGCCTAATACTGTTTACATAGGAGTCAGTGTGGCAGTTGGTTGGCACTTGTGTCTCTCTGCAGCTCACTGTGCATCTTCTGTGAATCCATTTGGTTCCACAGTTCTACTGTCAGGAAGAGCACAGATGTGCCTACAATTCAGTGAAAACCTTATGTAAAAGGAATGAAAACTGTGGTTGTGAGGACGAGTTAGAGAGAATTTTTTAGACCAATCCAACAGCCTCACCACTCTAGGTGTGATATCACCACTACAGCCTCAAATTTTAATCTTTTGAAAAGTACAAATGAAAGTTTAATCTACAGTAGATCAACCTCATCATCAGTGAGCCGTGGGCGTCCATGGCCCTGTCTCCAGTTCACCATTTGTCCTTCCCTAGACACTGTTGGTAGGTACTGACCACTGCAGACCAAGAACACCTACCAAGACCTGTAGTGTGGGAGATGATCTGACCCAGTCATCTCACCATCAGTTTGGCCCTTGTCAGAGTCACTCATCCTTACACTTGCCCATTTTTTCTGCTTCCAAAACATCAACTTTGAGGACTGAATGTTCACTTGCTGCCTAATATACCCCACACATTGACAGATGCCACTGTAACAGATAGTCAGTGTTATTCACTTCACCTGTCGGTGGTCATAATGTTATGCCTGAACGGTGTATGTATCGTCTTATATACTGACTTGGAACAGGTGGGCTCCCTGGCGCCGTGTGGCTGGGCTGAGTGGAGCGACCGGACTGAGTGTACTCCAGAAGTGAATGTTGGAGAGCAGAGGACTGGGAGTCAGCAACAGAGTGGGAGTCTGAAGAGGAAGATAAACCAGGGCAGAGTAGTGCTATCCTATTGGATCTCAACAGATACAACAACATGTCTGAAATTACTCCATTATATGCATAGTTGGTGGCTGTCATGTATTTTTCTCAAATGTAAACTCTCCCACTCCTGGTAATAGTTCCTTAATAACTAATTGTAAGGGATGCTTCATAAAAGTGTTTGTTTTTGTTCTGCCTATGTATACTGTTACTGGATTTTTGTAGCTCTCAAATATAGACATTGGAATACGACTCAAAAATGCAGCACTGATCAGACTTACTTCATCCCTAAATAGATCTCAATAGCAACTCACTCATGAAGTTAAGACTAAAAGGTAAAATGATTATCTAAATGCATATTTCTTTCCAGGATTATTGCATCCTAATATTTTTTAATGGTGTGCTTTTGCCCAACCTGTCAGCCACTGGATGATACAGTACATTGCGTGCCTCACTAATAATCCAGGCTGTTACACTATAGCACCTTTCAGACATGCACTGGAACCTAAACTCTCTCGACTTTACCCGGGTGAGCTGTATGTGAGAACGCAAATGTCTGAGTTAGTCGACCCAGACTTTAACCCAGTAGCTCCCTAGTACGAAGTCTGAGTAATGTCTGAGTGAGCCCATGTGAGAAAACAGCCGTGTATAATCCAGAGTATTCACACGGAGCTAATGGGCGTGTTGATGAAGTTCTATCATATGACCGGTGACAATGAAGACACCAACAAAAATATCAAACTGGAGACACAATAAGATTCAAGAACTTCTGTCATTAAGAGCCGGCATCAGAATCATCAGACAAATTTATTGAACAGTAAGAGACGCGGCCGTTTATGATGAAATTACAAACTGGCTTTGTGACTGTGTCATGTCGTGCGTCCTGTGCATTCTACCAAAGAGCACTGCTCGTGTGTAAAGAGTATTCCCAACAGGTAAGAACACATCTGACACAGACCATCTGCTGCTGTGTACTACATGTATGCAAGGGCAACTCTGGAGAAAGTCTGGACCTGATTCTTCAGAGTCCAGAGTTCATCTGTGAAAACAGCTTAAAGGTAAATGCTCAGTCAACGTAATCAGTTTTGACCATAGTCAGGTTTCGCAACACTGCAGCATAAAATAAATTATAAATTCAATCATACTGTGTATTTGGCATTAAGAAAAGATTGTGCTTTAAAGTGCTGCCACCCCACATTTCACTGGTGTTAATGCACAGAGGTGGGAAGGAATGAAGTACAAATACTCTGTTACTATACTTAAGTAGATTTCTCAGATATCTGTACTCTACATGAGTATTTATTTTTCTGACGTTTTACTTTTAAATCCTACATTTTAACAAAAATATATGTGCTTTCTACTTACATTTTCAAATTAGGCTCATTAATTTTTAATATATTTTAGGGAAATTATAGATTTTTTTTTCCAGCACTAACTGCAGAATGTGCACATTGCTGCACTGGGTGATATGTTCCTTGTTTACAGTCTTCAAATCAAATCAAATCAAAATGTATTTATATAGCACTTTAAAAACTATGTCTGATTGACCAAAGTACTTTACAAGGGCAAGGTAAACTAAAATAAATAATATCAATACAGGAATAAAACAACATAGGAACATAAACACGAATTACACAGAATCAACAGTTAAAAGAAGGAAGTATCAGACAGAACTCCTCGCACTCTCACATCGCATGTGCAGGTTATTTGAAGCTTTTTGGGGCAACATCTACACTGGTCTGGTGTTTCGTAATGAAGAAACATGTCACCTAGTGCAGTGGTGTGCTTTACTGATGTGTCTTTAATTGGTTATAAATGACAACGAATGTCTATGGCACAAACAAGCTGATCCAGGTTGGAGACTGACAGACCTCAACTGTGAGTTCAGGCTGATCATAGTTGGTTTTAGTCTCTGTATGGGGAGTGTTGAAAAGACTATATCCTTTAAGACTAAATTACACCTGAAATGTGTTCTCGTTAATGCTCATTATATAAACATATATACAGTGGGTATGGAAAGTATTCAGACCTCCTTAAATTTTTCACTCTTTGTTATATTGCAGCCATATGCTAAAATCATTTAAGTTCATTTTTTCCTCATTAATGTACACACAGCACCCCATATTGACAGAAAAACACAGAATGTTTGACATTTTTGCAGATTTATTAAAAAAGAAAAACTGAAATATCACATGGTCATAAGTATTCAGACCCTTTGCTCAGTATTTAGTAGAAGCACCCTTTTGAGCTAATACAGCCATGAGTCTTTTTAGGAATGATGCAACAAGTTTTTCACACCTGCATTTGGGGATCCTCTGCCATTCCTCCTTGCAGATCCTCTCCAGTTCTGTCAGGTTGGATGGTAAACATTGGTGGACAGCCATTTTCAGGTCTCTCCAGAGATGCTCAATGGGGTTTAAGTCAGGGCTCTGGCGGGGCCATTCAAGAACAGTCA